TATATATATGTCTAATTGTACGTAAAGAAAGGCTACCCATGCCGTTAATCAAAATAGTTCACTAAAACATACAGGTAGAGAAAGTCAAGATTAAAAATAATAGCGAAATGTTTCTTTTTGTCGTGCTTTTGATGATGAAATTTAATTGTTTTTCTTAGCGGTATTACCTGAATACTATGTTTAAAGAACTCTACTGTTATCTCTTCCGATTGTTTGACTTCCAAAAAAATATCTAGAAGAATTATTTAAAAAGAAAATAAAAGATTCTGCCGTCTAAATTTGAGAGGGAGAGAGCAAGCGAAATATAGCATTAAAGACTCTGATTGACATGGCCAACTTTTTGAAATGAACTAGCACTTGAATTAGGAAATTTTGAGTTTGAGAAAAGAAGTTAAAAGAATTGGATCGTTCCATTAGTAGTAACTAGGGGTGTACAAACGAAACCGATAACCCGCACCAATCCAAAAATTCGAGTCAACCCGAAAAAAAACCCGACTAGTGATTTGGTTTGACTTAATTTGGTATTGAAAAATAAAACCTGACCATAATAGGGTTGGTTTGGTATTAACTAAAAAAAGTAAAACCGAAACCAAACCAATCCGACATTACATGTATACATATTTTATATATTAGATAGATAAAAATATTTATTAGAATGTAAGTTATAAATATTTCTTAATTTTTTTTATAATTTCTGTATTTAGCATAATATTTTAAGTTGGTTTTATAGTTCATGTAAATGTTTGTTTTTGTCTGGCCCATAAAAGAATAATTGAGCCCAAACCAAAATCTAGTCCTAAAGCAAAACTAGATTAGTCCTAAAGCTGTTCTAAAATACTTAAACAATTGAAATCATTTTGCCTCTTCTCCAAAAGCAAGAAACCCTATCGTTCCATTCCAAAACCACCCAATTAGCTCAAACCCTATCAACTCTCTTTTGCTCTCATCGGTAAGGCTCTTCCCTTTCTCATTTTACATGTTTTCTTTTAGCTGCATACATACGCCTTGCTTTTTTCTAATTAACTAAGATTTTTCTTTTTCCGATTAGCGAGTTTTTTTTGCAAATCTGTTGTATTCCTCCCTATTATCGAATTTATTTATTTATTTTATTTCTCTTAGATGATTAACATGAGTAATTGACTGTTACTTAAAAAGATATTAAAACTTTTTTACTTATATTTTGAATCATTTGGTTAAATAATATGGACTATATAAAATTAAGAGTGATGTATTTTCTACATTATTTCTTATATTGATGTATTTTCAAGGAATATAAGTTTGAAGACATGTTAGAGGAAGTCCAGAAAATTGAGCAAGTTGAAGAAGGTAATAATTTATATTTAATTGTTAATGAGTATAATTATTTTTTTATATTATTTAATATTAAATATGTTAATTATTTTTTTTCTTTCGGAATATGCAGATTCACCTTTGAGGATTGATTAGAGAGATAGTTAACTACAATTTGCTTCATGATTATTTTTGGAATCTTTACTACTTTAAGGTAATTAATTAAAAGAAAGTTGGTGCATGGTTTTTAATCGATTAAGAAGCTTTTGTATTATATTGTTTCTGTAAGGTTCAGTTGATTTGACAGTTGAAGAAATTAGACTTTTTACAATACTTAAAGCAATTGATTTGTCCATGATACTCCAACCTGCCCTTTCTAATTATTTATCTAAGGCTCAATTGAAGCTGGACATGTCAATTACTTTAAGCTTTTATTAGCATTTTAGTGTAAAGTGAAAAATAATTTATAAAGTAGAGACCTTTATAAAGTGGAACCATACAACCTATTGACTAGCATAGTTGAGGTCAATGCTAAAAAATAAAAACATGGTTGTTATTGGTAAAATTATATTTAGGACTATAGAAATATTTGGAGCACAAGTTTATCGGAAAAAAACCCCGAAAAACCCGAAAAACCCGAGAAAATCCGATATTGAAAAACTCGACTTTTATTGGTTTGTTTTGGTCTATAGATTTAAAACCCCGATACAATTGGTTTGGTTTGGTAATTGCAAAATCCGAACCAACCCGACCTATGTACACCTCTAGTAATAACTAGTTAGCTTCATATATTACCACACCCTTCAACAAATTATGCAAGTTGAAACATCTCTTGATTGAATGCAGTTACGGGTAAGATATGTAATCATATTTCTTAATTAACAAGGCCTTCAGAGACTTTTACGTGAAAAAGAATTCAAAAGGCTAAAAAATTAGACTATGGTTATGTAATTGTTACTAGGTTACGAGTTGTAGGTTAAGAGATTAATAAAATTATAAGTG